TCTGAAAAGGGCATCCTTTGGAGGCAAAATTCACACATCTTTTGTGTGATCCTTAAGAGATCCCCCAGGCTCAGTGAAGGTCCTCCCTAGGTTCCCAGCCCAGGGCAGAGCAGACAGTAACATCCCAGGGGATGAGAAGACAGTCCGAAGGCGAGGCCCTGGGTCCTGCAGCCTTTATGGGTAATCAGTGCGGACTCCAGCTTCTCCAGCTTCCTATGAAACAGCGGCCAATGTGTCTACAAATGAAAGGTCACCAGTTGCTTCGTTCTCAATAAACTTTCCAACTAAGAAACTGAGAGTCAAGTGGATCTTGAGCCCCATCCAGACGGGGCAGCCCTGAGCAGACCCTGGAGAAAGAACAACTCTTTCCCGCCCTCTGTTTTCAACTCCCTCTCTGCTGGTGAGGTGATGCAATTCTTCTCTGGAACTTGATAGGATGTAAAAAATAATTACAAATGAAAAGGTTATTCATAATTTTTAAATGAGTTAATTAGTAAACCCAGTCAGACTCACTCATTACAGTAATTAATAATTGATTATACTTGAAATTAAACACAATTTTTCATCAAAAATCTAATTAAAGATCTGCGCTTCTTGCCTGTTGATGAGATCAGCTGGTCTGCTGGCAAAAGTCTTTGTGAAGGATATTTGTGTGCAGCAGAGACAATTAATTTGATTTTGAATAATTGATAGATCCTTATAAGTTAGTCATCACAGCCCGAGATGATGGCGAAGCCAACAAGAGCTCACCCTTGGCCCTTGGAGAGCCACGCAGCTGGAGAGCAAGCACAAGGCTGCCAACCCAGCCCTTGAGGACTCGTGGGACCTGGCCAACACCCGCAATGCACTCGTGGCCTTAGCTTACTCTTCCTCCAGACTCAGAAGCATCCTTCTGAGGTAGTGGACTGTGAGGGAGAAATCAGGACTCAGGGGGAGAAGTAAGTTGCCCAAGGAGAAACAGGTGCTCGATGGGTGAGCTGGGAATGGAATCCAGACTCTCAGGCTGCTGCGAGCTCTGCCCCCAAGTCTCCTTGCTGAGTTTCCAGGTTAACAGAGGGAAGCCCCCAGGCTTGCCTCTCGTATCTGGCTCTTGGCTATGGAACCTAAACTCCTGTTTTAGGTTGTCTATATACCTCAGGCTTTGGCAGGAGGATGTATTTATTCTTGGCAGGGACACCTTCTCAGTGGACTTGAGACCCAAATTCTCCCAAATCGATGTCAACCACTCCTCTCCCTTCCCCAACACTGTCACCCTCTGAGTTGAAGCCCTCATCTTCTCCTGACTTGTTCAGGCAGTAGGACCCATTCTTCCCCCCTCTGCCCTGAACTTTCTCAGACAAGCGTGTCCTGCCACTGCTTCAAGCCCTACAGGGGTTCCCTGTCGCCCATCCAGTAAGGTCTTGAACTTGGCCTCCACGGTCAGCTTCAGAATCTGCCCTCTCCCGCATTAGCTCCCATCGTGGCCCCCATGCCCCGCAAAGCCTTCAAATGGAAAATGTCTTTGCCACTAGATCGCCTTCTTTAAAGACTTGGAAACATCCCTTGGTCTGAAATTCCTTTCCTTCACGTCTACTTCTGGCTGTGACCTGAAGACTCAGCTAAAACAGCACCTTTGCCAGGAAGCCTCCTCAGGTCCCTCCTGGAGGGGGCTGGATATTCCTGCAACTGCCCCCCATGTCAGAGCTAACACAGCTATGGGGTCATGTTGGATCAATTGCTGCTTCTAAGCTATCAGCACCTCAAGAGTAGGGGACGTATTGTTGGCACTAGCACAGCACAGTGCCTGACTCAAAGAAGGCACCTCGTCTGGTTTGCTGAATGAAAAAAGAATATTCACAAAATTATAGATTCTAAGACTACAGTGAAATGGAGTATTTCCTGTCATATCAGTAAACAAGGATGTCGCAGCCATCAGCAATTTCAGGCCCCCAAGCGTGAATTTCTGAGCCCTGAGGGCACCCAAAAGGGAGAAGAATGCTTATGATCCAGCAGCTGCTGCTGCTCCCTACGGTGAACAAAGAACTAAGGATGTGAAAAATCAAGAAGCAGGATGCCTATCTCAGATAGCTGTGATGCATGTGAGAATTTCTGTGAGCCCAGCCTTTTTCATCCTCCCATACATAGAAAAGTGCCAAATTCCTTGAGATACCTGGTTTTCTTTAATTAACAACAATCTTTTGATATTCAGACTACCTGTCCCTTGCTGCAAACTTCTATATAACCTGATTCCCACCCTCCCGCCTACCTCCTTGGAGCAATTATGTCAGGGTTATTGAGACTCTGTCTTCCAGGCTTGACGTCCTAAAAATTCCCACCAAATAAAAGATAACTCTCAGGTTCTAGGCTGTGACTATTTTTGGAGTTTGACATTATCAATGTGGGAAGGAAAATGAAAGGTCCTCCAGTGACAAGCCTTATCCAGTGACTGAATCTTTGTCTTGCTTACATGGTCATTAAGCACTATTTGCACTCTTCCTAGACAGGAAGCGCACCAGCTCCCACAGTGGCCCCTACTTTTAGATAGCTGATGATGTGTTCTTACTAAATAGGAGAGGAAGAAGCCCATGGGATGGATGGCAGAAAGAGAGGTTATTTAATCATATAAAGACTTACACTTTCTGAACTAAGTTACACAGTATATAGTATAAACCTTACGACTTTAACACAAAACAAGTTGCTGTCTCTTGATGAACAGTGGCGCTGCTTGTTCAAAAGTCTACTCATCTATAACCTATTTGCAGGGCGGTACTGGAGATGCGGACATAGAGAACAGACTTGTGGACCCAGCGTAGAGAAGAGGGTGGGACAAATGGAAAGAGTAGCATGGAAACATGTATACTGCCATATGTAAAACAGATAGCCAACCAGTGGGAACTTGCTGAATGACTCAAGGAACTCAAGTTGAGGCTCTGTGACAACCTACAGGGGTGGGATGGCGTGGGAGGTGGGAGGGAGGTTCAAGTTGGAGGGGACATATGTATACTTATGGTTGATGCATGTTGATGTATGACAGAAACTGACACAATATTGTAAAGCAATTATCCTTCAATTAAAAATAAATAAATAAATAAAAATTATGGTTCCCAAAGGAGAAAGGTGGAGAGGGGGGTAAATTAGGAGTTTGGGATTAGCGCCCCCCCCCCCAAAAAAAGTCAACTCATCTATGAAGTATAATAATGTCAGTAAAAAGCAAGGGCTGTGCTAGTGGTCGGTGGGGTTACAGTACTGGTGACGCCACCAAGAAACTGTTGTGGCAGGTGGCCGTGCTCGGAACCCCGCAACCCTCCCCAGTAACCCAATCTATATCAATCCTGAACCTCTTGCAGAACCTGACTGGGAGCTGACTGCTCCTAGTTTGGCTGTTCCTTTTTACCCAACGACCCAGAGCAGGGGTGGCAAATATTTGGTTTGTCATCAGTATTCTCCACTCCTGTGACCAAAACAGACATCAGCAATCACTCACAGACTTCCATCGAGTCTGAATGAAGCCTTGGGAGCCTTCTCAGCGCAGCTTTTCAAGGCGGCCACAGCTAACCAATCAGTCAGAAGAGCAGATAAACACACATGCCAATCTGATCTTGATGCCATGAAATTCTCCAACCCAATCTTCACAAGCGGAGAGGAGACCCGGCATGCCAGATAAGGCTTACTGCAGCTCCAGATGTTTAAGGAGTCTTTGTTCGCAGGGTTATCATCTTCCTGATTACTTGTTTTAACTTAAACTTAAAGATCTTGAGAGGGAAGTGACTTTACAGCTTACATCACCGAGACCCCCATTCAGGCTTGAGTCTCTTCTCCGCGTCCCAAACAAGTGGGAGCCGTGCTCTATTCATCATTCCTTGTGACAGTGCTTACTACCTCTCAAGACAGTTCTCTCCCGTCCACGATTACTTTGCTTGTCACAGAGTCCTTTTCCACAGAGGGCAGGACTCTGTCTTATTTGGCATTCTGCCAGTGAGTTCCATTTCTATTTATTGGGTTTATACAGAAAGGTTTCCTTTGCTAATAGAAGTATCTCAGAATGCCTGAGCACGGATTCCAGGCCTTCTCAAGCTGGCCTAACCTACCATACATCTTAGAATTATAGAATTTGAAGGTTGGGAAGGACAGAGGGTTAAGCCAACCCTGGTGGATGCCGTTACCAACAGGCTGATTTACAGAGAGGCAGCGGACTCTACGCATCTCTCCAGAGTAACATCCTTCCTGGGAGCAGACCAAAGACCAAAGACAGGGGTCGGAAGCAGGACACCCGACTGTGCTGCAAACACATCAGAACAGCGCGTGGTGGGGGGAGTCGCAGGCACGGAGGTGGGCCCAGAGGAGTGTGTAACACGGTGGGAGCCCTGGGGTCAGCTAGGCAGGCCGGTCTGTGCTGCCCCCCGGCCTGTGTGCCCCCTCAGCCAGCGCCAACCGCTCACGGGGGCCCTTCCCAACCATGGTCTCCCACTGGACCTCGGCTCCCTCACAAGGCCTGGCCGGACCCTCATCTTCAGACCCGCTTTCCTGGCTTGAGGTCAGCACAGCCCGCTCTGGGGCAGCTTCCCTCCAGCCCCAGGGCCCGCACGCGGCCTCCTCTCTGCTCCTCGCTGCAGCGGCGTGGCACCCACAGGAGAGGCCAGCCTGCTTTCCAGCCTCCCTTGCCTCTCCCGTTTCCAGCGACTGCCGCCCGTGACAGTCATGGCACAGACGACCACCTCAAAAGCCAGTCCTGAGCGCCGGTGCCTGACTCCAGGCTTCCGTCACACGCGGGGGCCGACGGGACGTACGTCCGGGGCGTACACGCACGCACGCCGCCTTCCTGGTGTACGTGCAGGAAGAGGGGCTGGGCCCGGCGCGCCCCCTTGACAGTCTTGGGCTGCAGCGCGGGGTCGTTACCCGCCGGCCCAGGGCGCCCGGCCCGCGTGGTTCACCCTGTGAGCTCTGATGGCCCACAGTTGTCTCGGTCACTGCCCTCTGGGCCGAAGGGGCCCCCAGGGACGCTGGGGCAGGGGGGTACTTACCCACAAAGTACGCCAGCAGGATGACCAGCGTGGCCGAGATGGCGATGGCGCTCAGGGCCGCGCACTTCCAGTTACAGTACTTGGAGGGCTTCTTGAGGTTGAAGGCCGGGCGGGAGAAGGTGGTGCGGGGCAGGGGCCGGGGCGGCGGCGAGTACACCGTGCTGGACGTCAGAGGGTAGCCCGGCGCCGTGCTGCAGAAGAGCGGGGAGGTGCCTCCCGGCTTGAAGAGGAAGTGCCTGTGGATGGAGAGAAGCCGGGGGGCGGCAGGGTTAGCCGGCTCCCCGGGAGCCCACACCGGTCTGAGGGCAGAGGCAGCGGTAGAAGCATGCAGAAGAGCCTAGAGAGACGGAGAGAGAGAGAGAGTCGCCACGGAGGAGACGGAGGGACAGAGAAAAAGGAAAATCTTGTGCCGGACCACAGAACAGGGCATACGGAGACACATTTCCATGAAAACACGAGTGGGACAGCCCTGCCCATGGGGAACCCACCCCAGCTGGACAGAAGGCTAGGTGCTGAGATCCTTTTCCTGGGAAGCCACGGGGGCTGGGATGCTATTTTCTTGGAGAAGGAACTAGATGTCTTCTAAAATTACTGCAGGAGCTTGGAAAACGCCTAAAATCGTATTCTGCATCCCCCCACCCCCCGCACCTCCCCCCGGAGATTATGAAACTGCGTTTTTCCTCTCCCCCCAACACAGCCTTTGCTTGTGTACCATGGTGGAGGAATGGAATACCAACTTTTTTTTTTTTTTAAGAGGGGGTTGGGCTTCCCTGATAGCTCAGTTGGTAAAGAATCTGCCTGCACTGCAGGAGACCCTGGTTGGATTCCTAGGTCGGCGGGGAAGAGCCTCTGGAGAAGGGGTAGGCTACCCACTCCAGTATTCTTGGGTTTCCCTTGTGGCTGGTAAAGAATCTGCCTGCAATGCAGGAGACGTGGGTCTTCAATCTTTGGTTTGGGAAGATCCCCTGGAGAAGGGAAATGCTACGCACTCCAGTATTCTGGCCTGGAGAATTCCACGGACTGTATACTCCATGGGGTCGCAAAGAATAGGACACGACTGAGTGACTTTCAGTTTCACTTTCACTTTGGTAGGGGTGGGAACCAAGAAAGCACTACTAAACTCTGCCAAGGTCAAGAGTCCCTAAGTGGCTGTAACACAGCAAATGGCAGCAAATGCCTTCAGAGAACTCTGCCCAGAAGCCAGTGTGCTGCCTTCCAAGCCCCTGGTAACAGCTGGGGCAGAGGACAGACGGGCAACTGCATCCTGCAGCTTGGCCATCGCCACGAGGGCAGCATGGCAAAGTCAAAGCACATGGTCGTGGCCAAACTAGGTGCCAGGAAATCCTCCACAGCCTGTCTTTAACCATGGCCATGGGAGGACTGGGACACAGCATGGGAAACAGGGTGCACTGGTTGTACTGCATGCCCCCGAAGTCTTAGGGCAGAAGGTAAGACTGAGAGGGACCTTGTACCCTGCTGGGGTGCAAGAGGCCTCGGGCCACATAATACAACACCAGGGCCAGCATACATACAACACAGGGCCTGTGCTACACGGCTACATGAGATGGCTTCCGGATGTCAGAGGCAGCCGATGAGATGCCGGGAGCGCCATATTAACAAGACTGCTGTTAATATGCTGGGGGAGAGGGTACTCCAAGGATAAACTCTTGCAAGTTGAACACGGGCTTGGGGATGGGCATGCAACATGGTCTCATCACTTGCCCCAGGAGGTCCCAGGGAAAGGTCTCAGGGTCAGCATGCGGGAGCGGGAGCCACAGGGAGAGCACACGCAGAGGGGAGGAGCGTGGGGACGTCACCTACCCGTCACTGTAAGCCCCATCATGGCGGGAGGCGCTGAGAATGTCCATCTCAATGAGGTTGTCCTGCAATGTCCCTAGGAATGGCTGCTTGCCTAGGTTTCTACACACACATGGAGACATGAATGAAGCCATGAGTCATGCATCGATGAAGGGGACAGTAGAGAAACACAGAGAGTGGCTGACTGGTGCAGCTGTGCGTGAGACCAGCGGGGCACAGTTTCCAGGTGAGGGGGCTGTGGGCAAGCCCCCAGTGCCTGGGGTCTGCCTGGCCCAGAGCATCTGGAGGGAGCACCCTCCATACAAACCTGTAGGTCTGCCAGTTGTGTGCATCACATCACACCTCTGACTGGCAAAGACTGATTATGGCTCATGTGCTGAGCTAGGCGCGTGATATTCATTTATCTCAGGTCTTTAAAAGAGGCACAGTATAAGAAAGGCAGTGTCGTCCCCATTGTACAGAGCAGGGAATGGATTCAGGGAGGTCCTAGGACTAGCCCAGGCTACCAGCTAGCACGGTTCAAAGCAGGGATGTGAGCCCAGGTGTATCTGATTCCAAAGCCTGTGTTTTCTCCTTTACTTGATCCTGCCTACATCTGCTTTAACAACAGCCAGAGACACTCACTCCGCTCATCCAAAGGAAAAAGACAGACAAGCATTTTGGGCCCTTTGCTACTAAAGCAGTGGTTCTCAAACTTGTAAGCATCAGAATCCTTGGGAGAGCTGTGCTTTGCTGAGGCCCAGTTTCAGAGATTCGGAATCACTGGGTGTTAGGGGGCGCCCGGGGATCTGCATTTCTCACGAGCCCCCCAGGTTGTGATGTGATACTGGAGGGTCAGGGTCCTTTGGCAGTGCGGTGGCCTGGGTGATGACTGATTGGCAGGGACAGAGCTCCACAGAGACGGGGGGCACTGCGGCCTTCTGGGACCCAGAAAGAAGGCAGACACACTCGTCACTGTGGTCTCAACCATGCCTGCTAAGTGACGTCACTCACACACAAGTGCACGGGGTCTCGTTTCCCAGTATTTCAGGGTTTCTGCCACCTCACCTGAATTGTTTTGAACAAGTCAGTGGTGGATACCACCTGCTGTCTGCGCCTCAGGGAAAGACCGATTGCAGAAAGTCACCTTTTGGGGCCAGCCCTGCCAAAGACTACCCTTCTGACTCTGACCAGGTTTTGAGAACTGGAAGACGAAATTCCAGCCCTCTTTCTGCCGCGTGACTCTGTGTGGACACTTTAACCTCTTCTACTCTTACACTACTATGTCTGTAAAACGGGCTAATCATACTAAACTCACAGGTTGCTATAGGAGCAAGAGGAATGTTGGAAGAGTTTTCAAAGTTTAGGGAAAGGTCACAGAAGTACTGAGGCTAGCTGTAACAGTGGCTACCTTACCTATATCTGGGCTTCCCAGGTGGTGCTAGTGGTAAAGAAGCCGCCTGCCAGAGCAGGAGGCGTAAGAGACGTGGGTTCGATCCTTGGTTGGCGAGATCCCCTGGAGGAGGGCGTGGCAACCCACTCCACTACTCTTGCCTGGAGAATCCCATGGACAGAGGAGCCTGGCAGGCTACAGTCCACAGGGTTGCAAAGAGTCAGACACGACTGAGGGACTTAGCATGCACACACCCTAGATCCACTGCATACTTCTCGCTGTCGAGAGCTGTGCAACTATTATCCAGTATAAATCTTTCTCCCCCAACAACCCTGTAAAGTCTCCACTGCATCCTTGTTTTGTAGGTTGGCATGCATGGCAAGGCCTGGAGAAGTCCCAAGGTTCTATCATATATAGTAAGCAAGTGTCAAAGCCGGACTGAAGCCTGAATTTTTCTGCCATTGGAGCTCAGGCCCTCCCTGCCCATAACCTGTCCAGCCTGTGGCTTTGCCCCTGCCAGCCCCACAGACTCGCAAAAGGAGTGGCTGTCAGTACTGTCTCAGAGCACCATTCCACTGGCCTTCCCAGGGACTTTGGGGGCGCAGACAGCACTGTTTTGCAGCCGAGTCTCTAAGTACCACCGTGGTGGGGGTACTGGGTGGCAGCCGGTTCTGGAAGCCACCTCTGGGGCATCCCACAGAGCCCAGAGTTCCCACAGGGGAGCGGAAGTCCCTCAGAGTGGCCCCTTATTGCCCCCAGGCAGGGGGGCCTTCTGACGGGGGGTCTTGTGACCCAGCGGGAAGCACACAGGCCCTGGGGTCAGGAAGGTCTGCTTCTCTCAGTCCCCGGCCTGCAAGTGCCTGACAGATGGTAGTAAGAACGCAAATAATATTTGCTGACTACTGCAGGTGATGGGGTATACCAAGGGGAGTGTGTCTGGCTTATCGTGAGCGTGTAGTTGGTGTTTAATTGAGAGTAGCACAGGGGTGCTTGATTATTATTTCCTCTATTCCCTGCATTTCAGGAGGACATCTGCAGTCTTTTCATAGTCTATACCGCCCAGCCTGGGCAGGCCCTCACTGCCCTGTCCAGGGACCCTAGAGCTGAGCTCTTCCTGCCTTCCTGGGGCCTGAGAGTGGCCACGTGGCAGGCTCACCAGGACACGTGGGGGTCTGGCCTGTTTCACTAGGTGAGGACTGTGCTCTCAGATGGTCAGATCTAATCTTTAAGATGCATCAGTAGCAAGTAAATATATTCAGGGGAAAAGGACCAAGGATAAAGATCAAAACGTTAGCAGTGGGGATTTTCTGATGTCTGGAATAAGAGTGATTTTAATTTTGTAATTTTAAAGGAAACTTTTATAGAGAGAGACTGGGCAACTATCTCCTGAAAGTCCAGATCCATTCGAACAAGGGCAAAGGCAACACAACAGAAAAGAGTTTCTAGAGTGACAGAGTGCCTGTCATTTCCTGAGAGCGCGTCCACATCCACACTAACTCGGATGTCAGTCATTTAATCACTCGGGGACTTGGGGGTGCATGAGTACTTGCTGAAATGCTGCCCATTCAGATGATACTTTTGCCTTGAACTGTGCTCTGTGTATGTGCTCAGTCATGTCCGACTCTGTGTGACCCCATGGACTGTAGCCCGCCAGCTTCCTCTGTCCATGGGATTGTCCAGGCAAGAATACTGGAGTGGGTTGCCATGCCCTCCTCCAGGGGATCTTCCTGACCCAGGGATCGAACCCACATCTCTTGCATCATCTGCATTGGTAGGCAGTTTCTTTACCACTGTTTCACCTGGGAAGCTTTTGCCTTAAAATAACAAGCCTTATTCTGTACTTTCAAAACTGAGTTCTGGGTCAATTATTAGGTCTCATCTGACTCTGAGAAAACCAAGGCCCAGACAGACACATGTCCTACTCCCACCCACATAGCAAGTCAGTGGCAGAGCTGGAATGAAAACCCCAGTGTCCCAACGCCCAGTTCAAGGGTCCCCAGTACACTTCCTGCCTACCTCTGCCCCCAACATCTGGGTGTCTGGTTCTTCTGAAACATAAATGTGATGAGGATTTCCTGATGGGGACCCTGAGCTGCTGAGCCCTCCCGGGGTCACAGTCCTGCAGGGTCTCCAGCTCACCACTGCTGGGAGCTCAGGCACCAGATTCATCTGACCCTCTCATTGCTGGGTGTTGTTAACTCATTTTACAGACATGGAAGCTGAGGCCCAGAGAGGTTAAGATTCTGTTCAAGATCACACAGCATTGAAAAGCTAGAGATGGGACTCAAATCCAGACCTCTCTGACCTCATCAAGCTGCCTATCAGGAAAGAACAGCCAAGGGCTTAGAGGGGGCATTGCAGGCTAATGTTCGATTGTTCTTAGAGCTCTTCTTAGAGGGGAGAGGGGACTGGCTCCCTTCGAAGCCTGAGGGGAGGCCCTGGATTGGTCCCTGAGCTGCTTGAAGCGGGGTTCCGTCTCTTTGACCCAGGGCTGGCTGAGCTTGCCTCCCAAACGCAGAAGACAGAGCTTTGGGAGAGGAAGTGGCTGGGGAGCTGCAGTGGCCAGTGGTTCTTCTGGGACCACCCTGTTCAATAGCCCATCTTCTCACCACAAGCCCACTGTCCTGGACCAGGTTTCCACCCACAGGGCCCTGGGACAGCCGCTAGTAGAGCAGGACAGGCAGGGATCACATCCCAAACCCTGCAGCTGAGACCCACAAGGTGCTTGGGGTGCAAGAGACTCAGCCAAAACCACTTAAAGTTATTTACGAAGCTGGCATTTGAGCAGAAGGATGAACAAAGAAAAATGAACCAGGTCTTCCATGCCATTCCCATGATGGCCCTCTTGATCTGAAAGATGTTGACAGCTACTCACCCTCACATCTACCACGCCAGCCCTTGGGCCCGCAGGGTAAAGTGCATCCTTCTGTTCATGGAACTCAAGGGTCACTGACCCCTATTTACTGTCATTCTCACAGGGAAGCCCTGCAGCTCTTACTTCAGCCAACTCTTAGCCCTCTCCCCTAAAATCCAAGTTCTCTCCTGGCCTTTGCACAACTCTCGTCTCAGAATTCCTTTCTCCCATGAAATTCCACTCATATGTGCACCAGGACGCTACCTTTAATAATCAGAAAGGCAGCGCTGGACAGTGGTTGGGGTGGAAACTCCGAGTAGGCTGGCCTGGGTATGGATTGTGGCCCTGCCCTTCACTGGCATGGTTCCTTAGATACGTTTCTTTAGTTTTCTGTTCTTCAGATTCTTCTCTTCTCCAGTAAGGAGGATAAGAAGACCAACTATCTGTGAAGAAGAGCTAAGACAGCAGTCCTGACGGGTATCCTTTGAAAGGCATGCTTATAAGGTCGGTGTGTCTGCTTGTCTGGTGTCTGGGAACTTAGGGTTCAGGCGGGTTCCCACCATCAACTGATAAGAGGGATGACTCACTGAGCCTCGGCTATTTGCACAAACAACAGGGTTTAAGCTGAACACCTGCCTTCTTCCTGGGAGTCTGGATTTTGGATACATGCCAGGCAGGAGACAAGGTGTCCATGTGACCAGCCCTCAATAAACCCTGGGCACTGAGTCTCTAATGAGCTTCCCTGGTTGGAAGCTCATTAGCGCACTCAGTATGGGCTTTCTGAGTGTTTGTTATGGTTATTATTTGGTGCTTCTAAGCAGGGGAGGGGGAGGTCACACCTTCCTCTCTGCTGGGAGGCTTCCCTGGTCAGAGCATTATGCAGACAGCCCTGCCTACGTTCCTTCATTTATGGGTCTGCCTCCCTCACTAGACCTTGTGCTTCCTGCATGGGAGTGGCTATGCCATGTCTGTGACTGAAGCAGCAAATGACAGAGTCCGTGGGGTTCTGTCAACTCCCCACAATGCTCAGAGGCTGGCCTGGAGCACCAGGAGACACTGTGCACCCTTCTGGGAAGCGCATCAGGGATGGGCTGGAGACCAGGGGATGGCCTCCCATCCCTGAGGGTGGGCAGGGCTGTTGCCCCAATAGAGTGGGCCCCAGGCTCCCAGACCAGGCCTGCGATCAGATGAGCTAGAGCTGAGGTCTGGCTGCCTTCTGCTCTGGCTTCCCCTTCATCTGACAGGAGCCCGTTGGGTTATTCATCAGGCAGGCCCTGTGAAATTGGTTATATGTTCGATGCCACAGACTGTGAAGGAAGGGGATCGGGTTTTAGGGGACCCTCAACGCGTGGTTCCCACCAGAATGGACCGCAGATGCACCTGCGGGGCTTAAAGCAACATCGCAGCCGAGCTAGACCCCATCTCCTTCCTCCCTGGGGACCTCGGTCACCCTGGGGGAGTGCCAGGGGCATAGCGGGGAGGGGCAGGGAAAGGAGCAGGCTAATCAAGTCCTTCCTCTTCTCTGTCTTTGGCTAGCCTCTTTTCTCCTGCCAGCATGCAAGAGAAACCCCTTCCAGTCATTCTGCCAGCCATGAGGGCATTTGCTCAGCTACTTATTTTCGACCCTCAAGCAAGACTCAGTGTGACGGTTAGGGACGTGCCCGTGGCTGTCTCTCTGGCCTCGGGAGGGAGGCCCACCTGTTGGTGGGGCTTGGCGAAGCATTTCAGGACGGCTGTCTCACACAGGTCCTGCCCTCTGGGGCTCCATGCGCTGAGCTCAGTCTGCGGCCCCCCAGGCCCGCCTCTCCTCCCCGCCTCTCCCCGGGGTTCCTGCTCTTCACCAGGCAGTCCCCCGGCACCAGGTCCCCTGGGACGTCTCCCCGCTCAGGCCTCAGGTGAGTGTACGTATCCATTCCTTTGTTCCATCATTCATTCACACCATTTCGCTTGTGTGTTGATATTTATCAAGCCCCCATCAGGTGGCAGGGCTGTGTTGTGTGCTGGGGGATCCTGAGGCAAGGCAGTTAAAACACATTTCCGGTGCTGATCTCTAGCCTACTGCTAGAGTATGTTCTCTGGCACACAGTAGGCACTGCTGAATATTTCCTGGACAACAAACAACTACATGATAAGCCCTTGAGCATGCACGTGTGCTAAGACATATGCAGACATTATTTTTGTAACTGTTCCAACATCTTGATGAGGCAGTATGGTAGATTCAAGGAGGATGAAAATTCTCAGCTCTTCTTGCTTTGAGATATGGGGTCTATTGTCTCTCCCTTGAAGCTGGCTGGCCCATGACTGCTCTGACCAACAGAATATGACAGAAGTGACACCATGCCAGTTCCAGGCCAAGCCTAATATTAGAAGGATCAATGGCTTCTTGTCTCAGCGCAGTGGAGCCTTGAGCTGCCATGTGGAGACCCCGTGAGACCTCATGAGAAGGAGAGGGTGCCCCCAACCTAAGCGCAGTTCCCCAGTGGACTTCCCCAGGGTGTCAGGCACATGAGTAAAGCCATCTTGGATCCTTCAAGACCAGCTTAGCCAACAGCCAGACACCACAACTGCCTACCGTCTACCCCATGTGGAGCGGAGGACCAGCCCACCCGAGCTCTTCCTGAACTCTTAACTCACACTGTGAAGTACAATCAACTGGTGGTCTTTGAACCACTAAGTGTTGGGGTAGTTGGTTATGCAACAATAGATCATTAGAACAGGAATTCACTAATACTTTCTCCCCTTTAGCGATGAAGACTTGTAAGGTCTAGGTCCACCCCACCGGGGTGGGGGTCTGATCATAGGATGCATCTGATCTTTAAACCTGTGCTTTGAACAACTCACAACAGTGAGTGGACCATCACTTGTGCCCTCAAAATGTCAGGGTCAAACTCACTTCTTCGAAGTAAAGAAGAGAGAGAACTCACAATTTCCTCTCAACTCCTCTAGTGAGCAGGACCTTAATACGTATTTTTGAACGACTTCTTCTTCACAGGGTTGATATGGGGAGCAGATACACATGGGAGAAAAATGGAAACAGCTTTTATGGCATGTCTTTTATTGCCAGGCACTGTGCTGTGTGCTCATATATTAACTCCCAAGCTAAGAGATGTGACTTCTTATCCCAGTTTATAGATATGGACATCAAGGTTCAAAGATGTTGAGGAATCTTCCCAGCCAGGAAGTGCTGAAACCAAGGTAGGAGTCTACACCCATCTGATCTAAAGCCTGCATCCTTCCCACCTCACAAAGTTGGTCAGTTACCTGTGATCCTATCTCCCACACTTGACACGGCTCCCTCTTAAACTTTACCTTGTTGGTTTTGGGCTATTGACCAGCTGGCACTAAGATCCAGAATTCTGATTGTGTTATCCACTGTACTAGACATCTCTCCCAGTTTCAGGCTATTTTTAGATGCACAGAACTCTGCGGTCATAGACGAAGCCTTCCTCCAACATTTCATCTGGGTCTTCAAGGACGAGTAGGACTTTGCTCGACTAAGAAGGAAGGAGGAGGGTGACTCTGGCAGAGAGTTGTGCACACAAAGGCACAGGGGCATGTGAGGCCCAAGGTTTTGGTGAAATACTGATAAATACACATATGTGTACAATCATCTATACATACATACACTGAATATTAAATTTACAAGGTTATGTTATATATGTGTATGGATTTAGATAAGCAAGAAAATGTTACATAAACACAAGTATATGCCAACACATTAATAATGATTACTGTCTGGTGGTAGATATGGGTAACTTTCTTTTCTTGCTTATTTCTGTTTTCTAATTGCTCTATAGAATATCAGTTGAATGATAAAGTGTTAAGAAGAGAGAAAACAAGGTTCCTGTGGTTTGAGTAGCGGAAGTGGGAGGACAGAGGGTGGATGGGCATGTGGGCACTGACTGGCCAGGCAAGAGTTGAGCTAGGAGCACCCTCACATCTCCAGCTAGCCATCAGGAGACCAACCCTGCTGCTGGTCCTCCCCTCTATCTTCCTATCCCTTGAGAAGCTTGGAGAACCACCTACTTTGATGCTATGGGAGAAACACGAACATCTAAGCAGAGGGAGTGGCTGCCACACTCTGTTCAGAGAACGAGAACCATTGATTACTTGCTGGCTTCCTTTGATCATGTGCTGTCATTCAACAAGCACTTGGGGAATACTGGGGATCTAATTAAGCTACTCTGCTTGGGAAGGCACACAATTATCTGACTCTGTCCATGAAGAGAGCAAATGAGGCACATAGGGAAAAGTCACACATGATTTTAAAGGCTGTCAACAGACATATTAATTAAGAGACCAGAGAAGGGGTTGGGCCATATCTGTGAGAAATGTGCTTTAGGAAAAAATGTCTGTAGGAGGGGTAAAATGACACAAAAGGATGCTGGTTTTCTCTCACTGGACCCACGAGTCCAGCGTGGGAGTATCACAGCCATGTGCCAGGCAGAGTCAGATGGGTCCACGTCCCATGTGTGGACTAACTTCACTTCCTTAGATGTGACCTGACTTTTGTCCTCTTCCCAGATAAGGAACAGGGATTTGAGAGGCTAAAATCTCTGTTTCCCACTACTTTGAGAAACAGGGCAGAAGAGTAAGAGGTTCCAAACGTCCAGCCTGGGACACTTTGTCCTCGGTTCAGAGCAAGTAGAGAAAGGCTACGTCCCCCAAAGTCAGAAGGGCATATCTCAGAGTGCCAGGCAGACTGGCATTTTCCCCAGTGGCCTTATATGGTTTTCATAATCTTAAAAGAATCATCTCCACTTGGAGAAGATAGTGACGTGGCAAAGGGAAGGAAGGCAGCTAGAAACTGAGACTGACCGAGATCCTTGAACTGAAAGGAGCATCTGAGGGAGAAAGGAGAGGCAGAGTCCAGCCCAGCAGCAGGTGGTGGTACTGCAGGGAGACGGCCCCATACCCTGGAGCCGGGGCACCTGGGTTCAAATCTCAGCTGTGCATGGACTGTGATAGGACCTGAACTAGTCACCTAGCCTGAGTTTTAGCTTCCAAACCTGTCAGCTGGGATCACAATAATAATACCTACTTCATCAAGTTGTGAGGATTACTATTATATCACACAAACTGGAATACATCCATGTCAGGGCTCATTAGGGCTTTGGGGGCAGAGGGGCTAGGCCAACAGGGGAGGAGGAGAAGAGGGGAGGGGAGATGGTCACTGGGCAGCCACCTGCCCACTGGTTGCTCCTAGCTGGTCCCCAGGTGTTCCCCAGGGCACCATGCAGGTGCCACGCCAGGCAGAGGACCAAACCACGGAAGGGAATGGCGGAGGTGTGGGCCCAAATCAGACCCTGGGCGCTTGCTCTCTGCCACGGGGCAGACCTGCTTAGACACAGCCGCTCTCACCTGCTGTTACAATGGCGCTTTGCATCCAGCAGCAGCCCTGTGGTGCAGTAAAGCGAGGCACAGGGGAGGCAGCTTGACCAAGCTCACACCTTCAGTGAGCAGCAGGGCCACCCTGAGCCTCAGAGCTGCTTGATCCCCAAGCCCCAGCACACTCTCCCCTCCATCCCACGGCCCTTCTCTCTGGCAGCCAGAGAGGCGGATCCTTGGGACCCTGCTGCCCAGAACAAGCCAGGTGGTGGGCACACAGCACAGCCCCGCCAGGGCCCCAGAGCCCTGGGGATCTCAGCCCGGCCGTCCCCTGTCCTCAGGGTCCCAGCCCGCCCCGTGCCCCGCACCTGGTCTCCAGTGGGATGTTGCTGTTGAGCAGCCAGTTGTCCTGGGCGTGGGTCTGCTCCTGCGCGCCACCGGCGGGGGGCTCTCCAGACAGCGAGTGGTCCGTGGGCGCCGGGCTGGGGTTGCTCCTCGGAGTGAAGTTGCCCCGGTTCAGGGAGCTAATGGAGGCTGCGTGGTGCTGGTTGGGCGTGTGGGTGTGCGAGAGCGGAGGCGGTGGTGTCCGGAGTCGAGAGTGGTTCTGCAGGCCGCCTGGGTGATCTAGGGCACAGACACGCATGGTCAGCGGGCGGGGATGGTCCCGCGGGGGCCCCACAGGGGCCACGCAGGAGCAGCCAGGCCGGTGGTGAACAGCGCAAGCCGCTCAGTCGTGTCTGACTCTGCCACCCCACGGACTGTAGCCCGCCAGGCTCCACTGTCCATGGGACTCCCCAGGCAACAATACTGGAGTGGGAGGCCATGCCCTTCTCCAGGCGATCTTCCCAACCCAGGGATAGAATCCAGGTCTCCCGCGTTGCAGGCAGATCTTTACTGTTTGAGCCACCCAGGGAGCCCCACGCCAGCCGTGGGCACCGGCCACCTGGGCACAGTCATGCAGTCAGTCAACAGGTGCTCGACAGGCAGTTACTGAGTATCTGCTACTCTAGGTGCTGGGGAGCAAAGCAGGCAGAAGCCCTGTCCTCACTGAGCTTCCATCTGAGTTAGAGAGTCAGACACAAAGATTTAAGAAAAAAAAACCAAGACCAGATAGTACCATTGACTAAACAGACATGAATTTAAGCAAATTCTGGGAGACAGTGAAGGACAGGGATGCCTGGCGTGCTGCAGTCCATGGGGTCGCAGAGTCAGCATGACTTAGTGACTGAACAACAACAACACATGTCACTAACTTCATCCTGTTGCTTTGATACTTTTAGGGTATGGCCAGAACCCATAGCCTCTGCATTACCTGGGAATTTGCTAAAAATGAAAATTCTTGGGTCCTGACCCAGAGTAACTGAACCATGAGCCTTTGAGTGGGGCCAAGAAATCTGACCTTACAAATCCTCCAGGTGATTCTGAGGCATGATAAGATTTGGACACCACTAATTATATATAAGATTACACAGCAAATGAAACAAATGAGGTAAACAAATCACATACATACTTACCTATATATGAAAGTGAAAGTGTTAGCTGTTCAGTCATGTCCAACTCTTTTCAACTCCATGGACTGTAGCCCACCAGGCTCCTCTGTCCATGGAATTCTCCAGGCAAGAACACTGGAGTGGGTTGCCATTCCCTTCTCCAGGGGATCTTCCCAACTCAGGGATCAAACTCATGTTACCTGCATTACAGGCAGACTCTTTACCATCTGAGCCACCAGGTAAGCCCACATATACATATATATTCACCATCTTGGTTAAATATATATATAGTTTGGGCTTCCCTGGTAGCTCAGCTGGTAAAGAATCTGCCTGCAATGCAGGAGACCCTGGTTCAATTCCTGGGTTGAAAAGGTCCCCGAGAGAAGGGATAGGCTTCCCACTCCAGTATTCTTACACTTCCTCCTGCAATGCAGGAGACCTGGGTTCCATCCCTGGGTTGGGAAGATTCCCCTGGAGGAGGGCATGGCAACCCACTCTAGTATTCTTGCCTGGAGAATCCCCATGGACAGAGGAGCCTGGCGGGCTACAGTCCGTGGAGTTGCAAACAGTCAGACACAACTGAATGACTACGCACAGCACAGCAAATATATGTATATATATGTAGTTTACCAAGATGGTGATAAATCTGAGAATGCACAAAGCCAGGAAGGAGGCTGTGGCCTGTGTATGTCGGGGCAGTGATGAAACTTTAGATCAGATGGTCAGTGATGGGCTTTTGAGTAAAGGGAANAAAAAAAAAAAAAAAAAAAGACTATGTTGCTGTGGAGTGACTGTTAGATGTGATTCTGGAGAGAGCTCAGGGGAAAAAAAGGAGATGTGTAGAGGAAGCATCCATATTCTTAGAGAATACAAAAACACATATGTACAGAATGTTGATAGAAACAGTGGACATTAAAGGCAATTCTGATGAGGCGGAACTGAGGAGGAACATGTTACTGGAACACTAGACAAAAGGTGATTCTTGCTACATAGTGGCATAGAACTTGGCTGACTTATGCTCATGTTCCAGTGTTTTGTGGAAGGTAGAAGTTGTGAGCCAAAAAAATTAGATATTTTGCTGAGAAGATCCTGAAGCCAAGTGTTGAAGAAGTGGCTTGGTTCCTCCTGGCAGCTTACAGTAAAATGGGAGAACAGACAAATGAACTGAAGAAAGAACTGTTAAGTAAAAAGATTTGAAAAATTCTCAGCCTGCCCATATTACAAAAATAGTGAAAGCATGTACAGAAGAGAATACCACGAGTGGGGCTGATGGAAAATTTGGTAAGATTGATGTATAGGGGTGTGAACCATGGACCTAGCCAGCCATCCCAGAAGGAACACTGCCAATCTGAGTCAACAGCAATGGAGACAGAATGAAGGACAGCTGTCAAAACAGATTCTACAGATAGGACAATGAAGCTATTTGGCTTCGAATGTGCGCTGTTCTTCAAGAAGAGGGAAGACTGGCCTTGAAGGTGATTCAGAGGTCATCGGGGCTACTGCCTCAGTTTCAAAAGGCCTAAGGCTTTTTTATGGCTGAGTGATATTCCACTGGATATATGTACCAAATCCTCATGATCATGGTGTCTCCCCTGCCAGGTAAGTATATGTACCACATCTTCATCCATGCCTCTGTCAATGTACAGTTAAGTCTAAATGTTCTGTGTCTTGTCTAAATGTTCATGCTTCTGTGTCTTGGCTATTGTAAATAGTGCTGCAATGAACACTGGGATGCACATAGCTTTTCAAATTATGGTTTTCTCCAGGTATATGCCCAGGAGTGGAACTACTGAATCAAATGGTAGTTCTATGCTTATTTAAGGAAACTCCATACTATTCTTCATAAAGTTTGTACCAATTTACATTTGGGACTGACATATATACATATGTAAAATATATAACTGATAAGGACCTACTGTTTAGCACAGGTAACTCTATACTCTACTCTGTAACGACCTAAAAGGGCAAGAGTGGATATATGTACATGTATAACTGATTCACTTTGTGGTACACATGAGACTAATATAACATTGTAAATCAACTATACTTCAATAAAAATGCTTTTAAAAAGAGAAAGATTGAAGACTAAGATAACCATAGACTTGTCGCTAACCTCTTTGCACCTCAGTTTTCTCAACTATAAAATGGGGAAGAGTTTAGTAAGGCAACTGCAAAGCCACAGTGATATCAAATGAGACAGTCAATGGGGAGGAAATACATCTGAAGTTCACAGTTTACAAAGTATTCCACTTCATTTGTTCCTCTTGAGAATGCTGTCTCTCACATAGGGGACTGAGAGTTCGTGAGTATAGGATCCTAAACCCGGGTGGGTATGCTATTGCAAAAGCTGTGCTTTCCCTTGGCTCAGGAGACAGCTTCCTGGAAACCATCACAATCAAGTGTGAGGCACTATCAGTGATACGACTATTCTTAGCAGAAGATGCTCCCTGCTTTTTAGGTAACCCAGTCCTTTATGCCAACGAATTACAAAGCAAATCTGGTGGGAGTGAGGCTGGGTAGTAACACAAGGGAAGAGAAACAGAAACCCATCTGAGCAGATCAGGATTCCTTCCTATGAACTGCTATTGCCCACACCGGTCTACCAATCTCTTTGGAATTTGATCCACATCTGTCTTTCCAGCTTAATTTGTCATCAGCCCCCTCCCCATACCCTCTAAACTGGCCACACCTTTGTCTCAGAGGCCAAATACTCTGCTGGGGCCACATGGTGGCTAATATTTCGATTCCAGTGAAGATGGTCTCCAGGAAGGCCACAGAACATGAATGGTACCCTCTGAAGATGTGCCATGTTGTGGTCCTGGTCTGACAGAGATGCTTCTTGATGGGAAGGGAGAGATCCTGGGAGCCAATAGAACAGGCAGAGTGTCTCACTCAGAGAAAACATGGCCTTGGACCAGGGAGAAAGCGAGAATGTGTGTGTGGTGTGTGCACGCATGCACGTGTGCTCATGTGTCTGACTCTTTGAGACCCCATGGACTGTAGCCTGCCAGGCTCTTTTGTCCATGAAATTTTCCAGGCAAGAATCCTGGAGCGGGTTGCCATTTCCTACTCCAGGGGATCTCCTTGACTCGGGTTGAACGGGGCCTCCTGCATTGCAGGCAGATTCTTTACTGTCTGAGTTACCAGGGAAGCCAAAAAACAAGACTATGAAGGTTCATTTGTTTTGGTCATCTGTTCTCAGGCAGCACTTTTATGGAGACATTTGGAGCCTCGAAGAGAAGCCAGCAGGAGAAGCAGCCTGCTGGGCGGCTTGAGTGTCTCTCCCTATCCCTGGCCTCCCAGTTCAGGGCACTCCTGTCCAGTGGTAATCAGGAGGCCAGCAGAGAAGGCTGACCTGACCCGTGCCCCAATCCGTCATGAGCAGTCAGCCTTCCCTTGGCATTTCACCTAATGGATGTTAATAGTTGCTGCCGTGTATTTGAGAACATACTGTGTGTCCTTTCACCACTTTAACTTTCATAATGCTCACGACCGCCCCTAGAGGGCAGTCTCATTATCATTCCCATTTTACAGAAGAGGAAGCTGAGGCTTCCAAAGCTAGTGAGTGATCCTTATTAACCCATAGTTGGTATTCTGTCTACCAAACCATGGTGCCTTTGCATGCAACACAGATACCTGCTTGACCATCTCAGTCTGTAGCCAAAGGCAGGAAAAAGACCCTCAGTGAAGAAAGAGCAAGCGTTCAACGTCTGGGTCAGGACAGGCTGGCCTGCAAGCCTATAGACCCCAGCTTCGTGACTAAGTGGAATGCTGGGCTCTGGCTTGATAACTGCTTAGACTTACTGCCAAGAGTCCTGAAATGATGAGCTTTCAAGTGTCAGCTTCTAAAAGGAAATTCTGTGAGGGTGAGGAATTTTCTGGTCCAAACCCACTCTATTTTTTGCAGCTCGGCTCAACTGCCACCTCTTCTAGAAAGTCCTTCTTGATTTACCTTCCCCAAAGCTCCCTTTTCCACCATTGAATGCTAGCGGCAGGTAANCAGGTTCGACCCCTGGGTTGGGAAGATCCCCTGGAGAAGGGAATGGCTTCCCAATCATGTTTTCTTGCCTGGAGAATTCCATGGGCAGAGGAGCCTGGTGGGCTACAGTCCAAGGGATGGCAAACAGTCAGACACGACTGAGCAACTTCACTT